GGGGGCCGCACGGCGGCCCCGAGTTGTCCTTCCTAAAATAAAAGACAATAATTAGTTTTGTACAAGTATATTTACCATCTGCTTCTGCTGTCCCAAACGGAATGAATGCAACATATTTCTTAATACTATGACTTACTGTCTAACCGGCTGAATTAACTGCTGACGCTGCGCTTCCCATAGATTCAATTATGCTAACGTATGTTCGATTATTTTTGCATGAGAGTTCAATTACCCGCACTGGTTATGCGCGTGTTTGGGGAAGTGCGGCGTCAGCACATTCACACAGGTATGTGTGTTAGCCCCCGTATTAACTTACATATACACATACAGTAAAATCTAAAAATTTAATTAATCAAGAAAACAAATGTAAATTTAAAAAAGAAACAAACCGCTGCCCGGGGGCTCGAACAAAGATGATATCGTATAGAATAAAATCAGTACTAAACAATACCTAAAACTGGGTTCATCTCGAAATCCAACAGATAACGCGGTTAGTAAAATTTTGACGAGTATGATTTCGAAGACAAAATTTTTCTAGCACGTCTAGTTTTTGAGAAAAAAAATATTAAATTTTTGACTTTTCCGACGGCCAGTTTCACAAAAAAAAATTAGTTTCGAGAAGTAAATACCGCGAAATATTTACGACCCTATGTGGGTTTTTGACGCCGAATATCGGCGATGATGATACACTATTCTGTATCAGATTTACTAAGACAGCGGACATAATGCAGCGATTTAAGAAATATCAAAAGTGTTCCGCTGAAATAAGGTAGCCATCAAACGTTTTTAAGACCGGGACTAGTCTGGCTCTTTACCCCGTTTTACAGGCCTGAAGGGGGGTGTACTTTAAGAAATTGATTTTTGATTAAATTCATTGTTTTTTTGGACTTAAACTGAAATTTAAGTTATTCAGAGTTAGTGGCTCTTCGGATATGAATATTGACTTTATTTGAAAATTTTGGAATGACTGATCCAAAATGGCGGATCAAAATTAGCGGATGTTTTTTCTTAAATTAATCGGATTTTCACGAAATCATAAAGAACTACCACAGTCCTTTAGGTATCTCACAAGGAAGAGAAGCGACCATGTGGCAGTTTTCGCACCCATACTTTTTTCTTCGTATTTGCCGGTGTTATTTATACAACTCGCAGTTTTTCTTAAAGTTAACTTCTTAAAGACTACCTGCAAATCGGTTAATTAATTTCATCTAGTAAATGTGTGCGATCAAATTTTCAATTCTTTCTACAGACTAACTTTTACAAGCAATACATTAGGGGGGGTAAAAAAAGAAAGGTCGGAGTTTTAATGCCGTTGCCCCTATGATTGCCATTTACATAAAAAATATGCCTCCATTAATTATTTAAAAATCTAAAAATATTTAAAATTGTTCGTAGAAATGGTACATTGTACACACATACATAAAACAGTTACAAATTCAATTTTCTGGTTTTTCTACTTACCTGCCGTACAAAGTCGCAGATCCTCATCGTAACCATCGGAGCAATCGGGCGCACCATCGCATAAATACTGAATCGAAATGCAATTACCATCACCAGGACACTTGAATGGCTCGTATGGGTGGCAGGCCTCTGTGAGCGAGCGAGACAACAAACAGTCATAAATACGCCACAAAATTGTGGGCAACAAGCATAAATTTATGCGAATGAGATGGAAAAATTAATGAACACCGATGTTGATAAATACGTTGCCAGTTGATTAGCAGGCAGTAGGCGGCATATGGCAGGCAGCAGGGAAACGGTAGAGAAACCAGATGCCAATGCGGGATGCCATAACACATTTAACGTTATTGACATTTGTCGAGTTCGTCGGCCAATAACAATTTCAATTGTTGATGGATTTTAATCGAATTTCCGTAAAGAACAATTCGTTAAGCGAAAGCAGCAAATTCAGGCGGTGTTGGTGAGCCAGTTTTTCAGTGGATTGTTGGTTTTTTTTTAATTTCCACAAGTAGCCGCGAATTTTGGTGATTGACATGAAATGGGAAGAAGAAAATGGTTTTATAAAAAATATTGTTACAATATGTGGTGTGGAAGAAAGAGTTTTATTATTTATTAATTATGAAAGTGAAATATAATTTTAATTGAGGAAAATAACAAAATACTACCACTTTGAAAATAAAACAAATAGGCACATTCATAGTCAAAATAAAGTCGATTCTAAAGTTAGTGGCAGCTTTTTGACATATATATGTAAGTTTTACAGGAATATCTGTCAAGCTTTTGAAATATGAAACATATTGGACCACAAATACGGAGTTTTCCAACATTTCGACACCTGTGCCACCTATGTTGGAAGCTTCAAATTTCTTACCCATCGGGGAGTTAGTCAAAATTGATTGCAAGATTTTACCCAAACAAGAATACATACACACATACATACACACACATGCAAGTTAAATAAAAGCTTGTAATAAAAAAGAAATACTCTATCCAATAACACTTACTTCGCTTCGTAAAATCGACGACACAATTACGACCCAAAATGTAACAATTTCACTGCATAAAACCAACTTTCAATCTTAGCAAAGAAAAATGTAAAGTGAAAATCGCAAAAGGTCCCAACCACAATAACAACGAAATTTTCGCAATATCCTGTCGCCAGTGTAAAGCCTACTTTGTGTGTTCTTAACACGCAATTTTCAGTAAAATATTTGCACACTTACTAACTAAGTACATACTCATATGTACATACAGTGACTCCAACAAATGACCACGTGTTCATTTTTTTTTTAATATTTGTAATGTTTTTCGAGTTGAGTTTTTTTTGTTATTTTTCTGTAAAAAAAAGATGCAAGCTTTAACCAAAATCATATAAATCATAGTTTCAAACTTTATAAAAAATTTAGGGAAATTCAACAAATTTTCATCAAAGTTTCAACTTTTTCATCTGGATCTATAAAACATTTTCGGGTATGCAGTTTTATAGCCAATTAAATTTTAGCCTAATAAAGTGCAAGGTTCTGTTGATTTTCGAGACTTTTTTTTTGACGGATTTTAGCAACTTTTTTTCCTGAATTTCTTTTGAAATAAAATGCCGGGGACCGTTAGCAACAAAATTTCAAAAAATCACCACCAATTTTTGTAGCTGTTTAAAACTTGCACCAAAATTGTATAGGCAATAAAACTGCATACCCAAAAATGTTCTAGAGATTTAGATTAAAAAGTTGAAATTGTGATGAAAATTTTTTGAACTATCTCAAATTTTGTATAAAGTTTGAAAGCTTTTTGGTTAAAGCTTGGATGGTATTGGTATTGAATAACAAAATTTAGCTCGAAAAACATTAATAATATTTAAAGAAAATAAACTCGTGGTCATTTGTTAGAGTCACTGTATATATCTACATGCATATGTACTCTGTAAATCTATTTGGCCCACTGAAGCGGACACTTTCCGCTTTGCAGTGATTTACGTTTTTTGCAAATGCTATCGAGACGACCCTGCGACATTGCGACATTTAGTTATTTTGTGTGTTTTTGCCTTTGGTCTACCATTGTCTGCCATTCTAACCTCTTTACAGCGTGTCAAATAGCAGATTATACTTGTATATATGTACATATGTACACTTATGGGCAGAATAATAGGTGCAAAATTTAAATATAATATTGTTTGCAACTTATGCTTATTTATTTATTTTTAATAGTATTCATTTAAAATGTAGTTCGATCCATAACAGAAACCAGATGAATATAAGATTTAAGGCTTCCATAATTTTCACAAAAATTAATTGAATTTCAAAAAAAGATTCTTTCAAGGTACTGCGCATCTTCTTCCATATAAAAATTAAATGAAAATTTTTAAATTCGGTAAATCTTTGTGAAGTTTTTGTAAACATTACAAGATAAAACCACTGAAGCTTGTACACAATATAATTTTAAAATTCAAATTCACACACACATTCTCATATTCAATCTCAAACAACAACGACTTCAAAAAAAGGAAAATAGTCTCAATATTTTTTTTTTTTTATGTTGCCGCATAACTTTGGACCACTTCCACCGATTTCGATAATTCTTTTTCTATCGGAAAGGTAGTGTCTCACAGCTGATCCTATTGGTTCGGACCCGATTATTGGATCATGAAAAAATTAACGGTACTCCTAAATATTTATATGAAAATTGGATTCTGTTATAGATGGAACTATATTCTAAATTAAAATTATTAAAAATAACTAAACAAATAAACATAACTTGCAAACATTATCATTTCGAATTTTGCACCCATCATTTTGCCCATTAGTGTATGTGTACATATGCATAAGTATATAACAATTGTGTGCAAATATTTACTCGCTCGCATGACCTCTTTGTCTCCCACAGCTATCTTAGCTTATTGATTTTTACTGTGATTTTAAATAAATGGTATGCATGTACTAGGTATGCAAGTAGTAAGTGCCCTGTGGGGAAAATCTCTAGTTCTGAAC